TGATTTCACTCTGAGTTTCTTTAATCTTTTTGTGACCACAGACCCCAGGTTTTATAGGCTCTCACATAATTTTATTATTTTGTTGCCCTTCTTTTAAGGACCAATCTGATGTTCTTCTCAAAGCTGCAACTAGTGAAGTGCTGTCACAGTGATTAACTCCCTAGGCAAAAGCATAGGTTCCCCTTTCCTTTATCTGTTGTCTGTGTGAAACTTTGACTGCTTTCAGCCATTACTGGACACTTTTCTGGCCCATTTTGCGTGACCAGTGTGCAGTAGGTAAAATTATGCCTTCTTCTCCCAGATCATCTGTCATGATTGTATCTTCCAGAAAGCAATGCTGAACCCTCCCTCAGGTAGCACACTGCTTTCTGGTCCCAATGGCTTGACAGTTGGTCTGGTTTGGTCTATGGAAGATGTCCTGGGGTTTGAATGATCCTATTGCTTTCATTGCTCTCTGTCAAGAAAATAATTTCTGATCGGTGCCAACTTGGGGAAAAGCAAGGGGCAAGCAGAGCCAGGAGGAAGGTGTCAAAGTAGCACCCTGCAAAGAGACAAGGGAGGGGCTCCTCAGTGCATCCCCTCCCACCTTCCATAGGTGTTGGAAGGGAGAATGTCCCCTGCTTTTTCTCCTGCTGTTTCTGCCTCTCCCTCCTCACCCTATCTCCCAGAAGCCTCCTCCTGTCAGGTGTAGCTTGGGCTGTTTGTCCCTGGGTGGGACAGATGAGGCTGGACACTATGGCAGTGCAGCAGTGAGGGACCCAGATGTGCTCCCTACTTCAGCTGCAGAGCCCTTCCCTGAAGCTCTCCATTCTCTCTCTTTCTCTCTTTACTACATATTACCACACTGTTTTAGCCTTTTTCGTTTGTCCATCTGCCTTGATTTCTAAGTGCTACTATTGTGTCTGTGAACTACAGATGACTTGCTACATACTACACATCCCTAAATTAATTCCTCTTACATTCCCCCCTTCTCCCACTCCCCCTATCTCCTGTCTCCTTTCCCCCATCCCCACACACTCCTATGTTTTGAAACAGCCACATGGGTGAAAACATGAAAATAAGTCTGTTATGCTGCGTGATCTATGGTAATTTATAGCAGAATCTAATCCCTTCCCTCTTGGTGGTTCCTGGCTGTACCCTATGAGTAACTTGCTAAATGCTTTAGACAGCTGAATAATCTGTTTTGGCTATCTCATATCAGCCCAACTGCGAGTCCAAATGAGCCTGCAGATCTGGTGTGGTCTACACAGACCAGACCTAGTGTCTCTTCCAAGGGTTAGTGTCTCTGTTGTGACATACTCCTGTGCCTGTGGGTGTCTGGAGAGCATAGTCAGCCAGCAGGACAGGACAGGACAAGACTGGGAGCTGGTTTGGGATACCTAGGAGAAATGTTCGCTTTGTTATCCATATTCACTCCTGCCTCAGCTGTGACTCTAATGGAAACATTTCCCTGGAATGCAGTCTGAAAACAGCGTTAGAATGTTGCCAGGCATAAGCTGGGAAATAATTGGAAAATACTGTGAGGCCGTGATTTTTTGTGGCTTTTTTTTTTTATCTGGGTAACTACTCTGAGGCAGTCCCTTTGGGAACCATTAAGAAAGAGCAAAGTGATGCTTAAACTCATGATGTCTCTTTGGTGTAGAGTTGGGATTCTAGGAATGGAAGTTGGTATTTTTTTATGTATGTAATAAGGAACTGAATTCCCTAGTTGCTGTCAGGTCACCTGTTTTTCTTGTCAGGAAATTATCCCAGAAGTTCACTGTGGAGGTTTCCCCCTATAAGGGTAACTGTGATTTTGCTTGGCATGTCCTACATTGGAAAGTTTACTGAAATAGAAATTTACTTTACATAGGAATGTATTTTTTTTTTTTTTTGCTTTTTCAAAGAAATACTTGGATCAGTAGACAGTCTATGGCAGGTGGAATCACATCACTAAAATGTGCTGATATTGGAGATCGGTCTCAAAGGCTACTTCCTCCTGTGAGGCAGAAGTGTTTTACCATATTTTACCTCAGAAGATTTCTTGTTGAACCATTCAGTACCGACAACTATAATAAACTCTCTTTCTAGAGAAGTGAGGATTTTCTCAAAGTTGTGTAAAAATGATAAATTTAGGACCTTGCAATGGCATGTTTATTGGTCTTTTTACAGAGAGGGATTTTTAAGTGACCAGCTTGGTCCCTTAAGCCATTCTCTTACCCTTCACCCAAGGAATTATTTCTAAAGTTTAATGGCATTACAGGCTTTCTGCTATTCATATTGTTTCTTTAAAGTGACTTTATTTTCAGAAACCATAGTTGTAGAATTAAACAGTGTTTAAAATTTGACTGCTTAAAGAGGCTCTGCAAGATCCTTGAGAGGACTGTCAGGTTAACACAACATGGTCTAGAGCTTAGGCCAGATAGGCTATTCCAGCTCCTCAAATGAAGGGAGAATACTTGGTGGGGAGAGTCATTACCTAAGGAATGCAATGACAAAACGCCACACTACTCCATGGTAGTACTGGACATTTTGCAGGATCATAAAAATCTTGGCTTCCTTTCATCAAGGGCCTTTAAGCAGCTGAATGATCCAACTACATTCAAATGCCTAGCAGAAAAAGTGCTGTTTTCTTAGTGTTACATTAGATTTTGGGAATCTAGCATGTAAAACTACAGTAAATTAATTAAAATAAAAAATAAAGTATTATATTTCTTTTTATTTGGGTAGGGAATTGTATTCCTCTGTAACTGATAGAGTGATCAGGGACTTTAAAACTGTGCAAATACTTCTGGTTTCATAGAAAGGAATTGTTTTGATTCATGGTTTTAACATGGGCTCCGGTCAGGAAAGATCTCGAGACTACTGTGTTATAAAAATTAGTTTTTTTTTTTAATTTTTAAATTGAATGGAAAATAATTCTTCTTTTCATTTACAACGAAAAACATTAATGTGTTTGCTCCAATTGCACTGATATGCATCTTTTAAAAGTCAAGGTTGATTATTCATGTTTCTCGCAGCAAATCTATAGTAGTCACTATAAATCACTAGTAATCACTAGTAAATCCCTAAAAAAAGTTGATCTTGAATTTAAATGCTCCTGGTTCTAATGTGGCCATTATCTGGTCCTGGCAAAACTTAATTTATACCATAACTGATGCTTTTTCGGACATTTACTTCAAATTTTTAGGTCAGGATTTGATAAGTTTGGTTGGACCGGTTTACCAATCAATTATGGACAATAGTACCTCCATTTAACATGAAGTCTAGAGGAATGAATGTGTGGTGGGATTTTTATTCATATTTAGAGTTTTAGATAGGCAGAATGGATTTCATGATGGCAAACTAGAAGACAAGAATGTATGTTTCTTCCTTATTCAACCTTTAAGAGCTTGCTCTAAAACTCTTCGTGTTGTAGGTCTGTCATTTTCTTCAAAGTGGGGGAAGGGGTGAGCAAAGTATGAACTGAACAGTATTTACATTTGAACACTAAACAATTTCTGAAGAATGAGGTAGGAGCTAGTTATTGGAAGGACTATTATTTAGTTTAATTGATCCCAGCTGGGCTTGGAAGAGATTCCAGCCAAAAGCATGCAAATACTTGCCAAGAGCCTGTCATATTTGATAGCTCACACTGCTATGAACTTGGCTAAGAGAGGTCAGTCACATAGCACAAACTAAGCTCTCCTCCACTGTATCCAGGCTAGCTTAAAAATGCGGATATGCTGCCAGCTGACTAGCAAGCCTTTCTCCTTTCAACCTTGTTTTAAGAGGCCCTGGGTTTCTTGGAAGTGAGGGAGTCCAGCACTGTGAAGCAATGGGAAGATGTTCCACATATGGAGCAATGGACAGACACAGCTGCTGTAGGATCCTCTGGGCATCTGTTTTCATTAAAACTTCACTTGTGCATTTGACCTATCATCTGGATTCAGCCCACATCACTGGTAAAGGTACATAGTGTATGTAACACCACTAATTAATCAACTTTCCTCTAAAAAACTCCCTGTGTCAGAAGTACCTTCTTCTTTTTAGGATACCTCCCCCTCAGGCTTTTGCTAACTTTATTAAGGATTAGAAAAGTTTGTACAGCATAATTTAGGACAAACAAACCATCACAACAAATATCCCGTATTTATTACAGGATCAGACACCTTAAATCTGATAAATTTCACATTGCTTTCCTTCTTTGATAACTACCTGAATAATTTAGGATAAAACACCAATTCTAAAGAAATACTGGACATCTAGTTAAAGACAACTGATTTGCTTTTCAACTGCACCATACCTTTTCAACTCACTTGGTAAGTATAACTATGTATGCTTTTTAAAAAAGCTAAGCAGGCACCTCTTTCCCTGTAGAGATACACTGAGTTTCCTCTCTGTTTTCTCTGTTGGACTGTAACCACCATGGTAGAACTCTTCCAGACTCTCTGGAAAAGCATTTCCACTTTGCCTAAATAATTAAATATTCCTTGGACCAGAGGACTGGAACCTCTACAAAGGGTTTATTTTTTCCTTTTTTCTTTATTCTTTGTTTCCCTCTTACCCAATGAATACTTAATTACAAAGCGGAAAAGTCCAACCGGAGAGATGAAGTCAGGGAAGATCCTCTAGTTCAGGGGAATTGGCTTTCAAATGACATTGTGCCACTGGGGTGAACAAAGTTATCCTTCCACAGCTGAAGGTCTCGCTCATTTAATCCAAAGCCCTGTCCTTCTCCTTTTCATAATACAGACGTTCAAGGAACACTTTCATGGCAAAAATTAAATGACTACTATAAACCTAATTACTAAACTTTCAAAATACATGTTACACAGGTTCATTATTATTGAATTTGGTAAGTAAGATATAGAAACAAACAAAGTGTAAAAAGTAAGGGTTTTACCTATCATAGGGAATAAGTGATGTGGTATGGAGATTCAGGAAACAAGTCAAGGGACGTGAATCATCTAGGCCACTGTCCAGTTGCAATCAAAGCTTGCTACTCTGTAGTGCTTACTGAATAAAAAATAAGATGTAAGTCTCTTCCCAGCTCCTGTGAACATAAATTGACAGCATTTTTGTTATTTTTAGATGGTATTCTCACCAGACAGGTAGTCTGGGCAGTTGCAGGCAACTCATTTTCTTCTCTCAGTTGTTTTCAAAATTCAATGAGGATTCATTGTGATGTGCTATTGCTCTGCACCTACTGCTGTTAATAGTGAATTTAGAGCAGGAGAGACCACTATGAATTTAGGGAGAGTGAATGGTGGGGTGTGACAATAAAAGCAGAAGCAAGAAAAAGCCAACAAATGAGCACTGTAGTATTAAAGCATTGAAGAATCAGATTTGTAAAAAAAAAAAAAAGTCGGTAGTTATAAACTCTGTGGTCACTTAACTCATTAACAAGCTCAAGCTTCTAAAAAAGATCTGCTTCACACTGATCACATTCAGATATTCAAACCTTGGATGTCTGTGACCACTACACTAACTTTACACCAGCTGCACAGCATAACCCTTTTGCCAACCCTCTTGCCTTGCAAACCCACCATTCAGGTGTTAATTTTACAGTGAAAAACTGGATGGCCATGATCACCTTACTGTGTTTTTATTTAACAGTGTCTGCTTAATTAGAGGGAACTATGGTCTGGACATAGACAAAAATCGGTAAGAGATTTCTTGGCTCCTTTATTGTATAAGCAGAGAGAAACACTGTGATGGGAACACTCTTAGGTCAAAGTTCAAAACTGGGTACTCCAATAGAATTATTTTGGCAGTCAGGTGCCAGAAATGGATATTCAGCTGCCAGAAATGGATATTCAGATGCCGGCTGTATGTGTTTATATTTGAATTGAGTTCCACTTTTTTAAAATACAGCACTTCTTTTGATTTGGTAAGGTGTAAAGATTCTTTACAATGAAGAGAGACAAAGCAAGGGTTGACCTAAGTCTTGGACTCAAACGATGTGATGTGAGTGGCTGGGGAGAACCAGGCAGAGATACATCATGGATTATTTTGTGTTTTCTTGTACATTGTAAGGGTTGAAATTCTGCCTAATTTAGCCTAGTTCAGGCTTTCAATAATCTGGGTCCCTGAACATTTGCCCATTTCTGTAGTTTCCTGGACTGAGGCAGAGCATGAAAAGTAGTGCAGGTCCAGTTCAGACACATGACCAGAAGTTCCTGGTGTTGTGGGACTTTTTTCATAGTGTTCATGATAGGAATTCCATCGGTTAGTGTCTGCTGGCATAAGCAACACTCATGGTTGCTTTAGGTTAGAGCAATACCACCTCTCAGGCACCAAGTGAAAAAGTAAATGTACTGTAGATACTTGATACCATATCCTGTTTAACTTGGGCAGTCCTCTTCTGATATTCCTGAGTTAGCTTGTATTCTTGATTGTAGCAAAATGATTGCAACTATTTTTAGATGGTGAAGGATTTCTCATGTAGGGAACACATTTATGACCGCCAGTGCTTAACATTAGGAGAAGCGTAAGCTTGTTATAGTATCATTGTCTGGACAAAAAAAAGTACATTTCTTAACAACGGTGAACATCTTCGGAAAGTTCAATTGAATGAAGACTTGGTCTGGCTTTCCACTGAAAATTTGTAGACCACAGCTTCTCCTCCAGTTTTACCTTTAGTTTTGAATCCACTTACTGAAATATGCTTTGAAAAATTATTCTTTTTATCTAGAATACCATTTTGGAAATAAATTTTAAGAAACCTTTTTTCTTCCTTCTAAGAAAATTGGCATTAAATTAATTTTATATAGAACAGAGATATCAATGATGTAAATAACTATATAGAATACAGTGCATAGAAATGACACTTGGAAAAAAATTTCTGAAAATTACTGGTTAAAGTATGATAATTAATACAAAAAGAAAGTCATGTTTAATTCTCTTACTCTATTTAAGTTAACAAATTTCTGAAATTCTTCAGTGCTTGGGAATTTATAGAATCATAGAATCAGAACGCTAATGGGTTGGAATGGACCTTGAACGTCATCTAGTCCCAACCCGCCTGCCATGGGCAGGGGCACTTTCCACTAGACGAGGTTGCTCAAGACCTTATCCAACCTGGCTTTGAGCAATGCCAGCGATGAAGCATCCACAATCCCCCTGGGCAACCTGTTACAGTGTCTAACCACCCTCACAGTAAAAACTTTTTTCCTAATACCTCAATTTCTCCTCTTTCAATTTGTATCCATTACTCCTTGTCCTGTCACTACAGTTCCTGATGAAAATTCCCTCTCCGGTTTTCCTGCAGGCCCCCTTCACACACTGGAAGTTATCTGAGGTGTAAATACAACCTTTTCTTCTCCAGGCTGAATAAGTTTTTCAACTTGTCTTCATAGGGGAGGTGCTCCAGTCCTCTTATCAACCTCGTGGTTCTCCTCTGGACTTTCTCCAACAGTTCCATGTCCTTCTCATGGCAGGGACACCAGAACTGTACTCAGAATTCCAGATGAGGTCTCACATGAGCAGAGTAGAAAGGGATATCCTGGTTCCATTCAGAACAGGGTTAAATTTTGCAGTTGCCAGGAGGTAGCATGACCAGGTCCTGGAGTTTATCCTATACCACCTGACACTAATTTTTATTTTCTGGGGACAGTGGAAGGGGTCCCTTCCAGGTGTGTAGAGTGGTGGGTGGGGGGAGCAGTCGAGTAGCGCTGGTTCCGTGGTGAGCAATCACATGTGAATCTTTTTACCTGTTTTGTGCACTTTGTCGTTGATATTGCTGCTGCTACTGTAAACTTTCTTATTCCATTGCTGTTTCCAATAAATTGTTCTCATTTCAACCTATAAGCTTCACCTTTTGTGCCTCCGATTCTCCTCTCCATCCTGCCACAGGGGAGAGGGAGGGGAGCAAGTGAGTGAGTGAGTGGGTCATGGTTTGGAGTGTCTCTGTGGGAACACTAAATTGGGAAATACCATTCTGAAATCACAGCAGAGGAGAATCATCTCCTTTGACCTGCTGACCGTGCTCCTTCTGATGCAGCCCAGGATTTGGTTGGGTTTTTGGGCTGCAGTAAAACACTGCAAATATTGACATAGTGCAATAGAGTTGGAATTACAGCTTGTGGATTCCAATCCTTGAAAATATCTCAAGTAAAAACTGAGTCTTTACCTAGACCTGCACTAATATCAAAGATGAAAGCTTTCTACTTTAGTGACATTGGTATTGTGTTCAATGTTAAATATTGTGGTACATTACAGATATAGTTCCATAGGAACAGAATTACTCTTGTAGTCCTGAACCAGCCAGACACTAGGAACAATACCAAGTTCAACTAAATGCACTTCCCTTAGAAAGGACTATGCCTGGATGGTCATGTTTACTGAGCAGCACAATCAATGTGGTGACTTTCTTGACAGTGTAAAGAAGAGTGAAAAGAGGCTGATTTGTTTTATGTGCCAGTTATGGACATTACACAAATGATCAATCAGTAGCAAATTAATTTTCCTTCAGGTGAGCAGTAGATTGAAGATACTGAAGAAGATTCACTTTGCTAGTTATATTGCTTTGGGAGGATAATGTGACATAGAATCATAGACTGACCTGAGTTGGAAGGGACCTTAAAGATCAGGTAGTTCCACCTGCCTGCCATGGGCAGAGACACCTTTCACTAGACCAGGTTGCTCCAAGCCCCATCCAACCCTGCCTTGAACACTGCCAGGGATGGCACATCCACGTCTTCTCTGGGCAACCTATGCCAGGGCCTCATCACCCTCACAGTAAGGAACTTTCTCCTAATATCTAATCTAAACCTACTCTCTATCAGTTTGAAGCCCTTGTCCTGTCACTCCATGCTCCTGTAAGTAGTGTCTCTCCATTTTTCTTGCAGGCGTCCTTCAGGTATTGGAAAGCCACAATTAGGTCATGCTGAAGCCTTCTCTTTTCCAGGCTGAACAACCGTAATTCTCTCAGCCTTTCCTCAAAGGAATGTCTATTCATTAAGGCTAGTTAGAGAATGTAGAACACACTATTCTTGGCCTTCACTTTAGTCTCCAAATATCAATACCTTTTTGCTGTAGGTTCCATATAACAGACTAAGGGTTTATTAATGCTTAAATTGTAAAGCTAGTGCTCTTTACTTTTTATCTTTTATCTTTTCTCAGATATTATTTATATGTTACAAAATAAGACCACTTTATAAATTTTTCCAAAATATCCCAAATAATAGCAACAAAAGAAAATGTCTCTCAGACAGCTGTATTTTATCAGCTTAATTGATTTTACATAGAGTTCTCGCCTTCAGGACCATGCCATACCACGGAAATGCAGGTCTGACAAGACAACTGCAGAAGTAATTCATGAACTGCAGTTGTCTGAGGCAGGAACAGGAATAAGGAGTGGACTGAGTTATTGTAGTAACCCTCTGACTGAGGGTTACTAGAAGTCAAGAAAAAGCTTGTGCAGGCAGCTTTTTGGTCTGTGTGCACATGTAGTGCTTTAAGCATACTGGAAACAGTGACTTTTGATTCTTTAACAGAACATCTGTGGAAGGAAGAAGGCATTTGATGATATACACAAAACTTGTAGTAATAACTTCTCAAAAGGGCTTTTATACCTTGCAACTCCTCGAGTAGTAAGGTTGTGCAAAGTGTGGATATAGAGAGCAAAGCTTTCTCCATACTAAGTTCTTAGAGATTCATACTCTAGGTATTACTTCAACTCTACCACAAAGGAACATTTTATTTTTATACTCCTGTCCTTGAATGACAAATATCAGTTTCTATCTTTTATCTTACTTCAGTGGTCACTGTTAACCACCACCAGTATGTAAATAAAGCAGACCATCATGCATGTGATATCTGCTGTAAAATCAGTTTACACTACATTAAAAGCAACGATGTAGTCTGACAATTTAAGTGACTTTGTGGATCATAGTCTGACCTTTTGTTTTACATAGACAACATCAGTGATGTCAACTATGGTTTAATTTTCATTTTCCCCTTCTCTGAGCTCCAGGGCAATAGTTTAAAGTACTATAGAGGAGTTGTGGTTTAGAAATGTTATCCTCTAATTTAGTGTTCCCACTGAAAC